GGGTCTGGCTTGCTGCACTCTGGCAGTCTCTGCTAACAATGCTGGTAGACTTGTATCGTAGTGCCTGGGGGGAAACCCGACGCACCACAAACAATCCTTTTCATTTCCGGGTCCATTTCTCGCATCGGAGCTGATCGCGAGCAGGAATTCGAAAAACGTCTGCCACGTGGAGTCACGGTGGACCAGCCAAGAAATGTCACCAGCCAGGGATCGATTCCTGTCCTTCCCACTGCAAACCTGTGGTTTCCAAGCCCGGTGCCTGCATCTTGTAAGGACCCCCGAACCACGCACATACTGGATGGTCCCTGGTCTCTTTTTCACGGATCTCTTCATCAGAGCTCATCGCGAGCAAAAAGTCGTCGAAAAAGGTCTGCTGCGTGAACCAGTAACATAATGCCACCACCAGGGGATCGATACCCGTCCTGCTCAATGCACACCGGGTGGTTTCCAAGCCCGGTGCTCTGCATCTTGTAAGAACCCACGGACCACGCACATACTGGATGGTCCCTGGTCTATTTTTCACGGATCTCTTCATCGAAGCTGATTGCGAGCAAAAAGTCGTCGAAAAAGGTCTGCTGCGTGAACCAGCAACATAATGCCACCACCAGGGGATCGATACCCGTCCTGCTCAATGCACACCGGGTGGTTTCTACGCCCGGTGCTCTGCATCCTATAAGAACCCACGGACCACGCACGTAGTGTTTGATTCCCGGGTCTATTTCTCACGGATCTCTTCATCGAAGCTGATCGCGAGCAAAAAGTCGTCGAAAAAGGTCTGCTGCGTGAACCAGCAACATAATGCCACCACCAGGGGATCGATACCCGTCCTGCTCAATGCACACCGGGTGGTCTCCAAGCCCGGTGCTCTGCATCCTGTAAGAACCCACGGACCACGCACGTAGTGTTTGATTCCCGGGTCTATTTTTCACGGATCTCTTCATCGAAGCTGATCGCGAGCAAAACTTTGTCGACAAAGGTCTGCTACGCGGACCAGCAACAGAATGCCACCAGCCAGGGGATCGATACCGTCCGTGTTCAATGCACACCTGATCAGGCTGGTGGTTTCTACGCCCGGTGCCCTGCAAATTGTAAAAACTACTGACCACGCACATAGTTTTCTGTCTCCGGGTCTATTTTTCACGGATCTCTTCATCGGAGCTGTTCGCAAGCAAAAATTCGTCGGAAAAGGTCTGCTATGTGGACCAGCGGGAAAATGTCGCCAACCAGGGGATCGAAACCCGTTCTTCCCAGTGCACACCGGTGGTTTCCACGCCCGGTGCCCTGCATCTTGCACGGACCCACGAACAATGCACATACTTTTTCGTTTCCGGGTCTATTTTTCACAGTTCTTTTCATCGGAGCTGATTGCGAGCAAAAATTCGTCGAAAAAGGTCAGCTACATGGACCAGCGGGAAAAAGTTACCAACCAGGGGGTCGATACCCGTCTTGCTCGATGCCCACCTGGTGGTTTCCACACCCGGTGCCCTGCATCATGCACGGACCCACGAACCACGCGCATACTTTTTCGTTTTCGGGTCTATTTTTCACGGATCTCTTCATTGCAGCTGATCGCGAGCTAAAATTCGTCGAAAAAGGCCTGCCGCGTGGTCCGGCGGGAAAATGCCACCACCCAGGGGATCGATTCCCGTCCTTCTCAATCCACACGTGGCGGCTTCCACGCCCGGCGCCCTGCAACTTGTAAAGGGCCCCGAACCACGCACATAGTTTTTCGTCTCCGGGTCTATTCTTCACGGATCTCTTCATCGGAGCTGAAAACGAGCAAAAACTCGTCGAAAAAGGTTTGCTACATGGACCAGCGGGAAAATGTTACTAGCCAGGAATTCGATACCCTGCACACGCCGTGACACGGCCCGGAGAGGGCGGGGGGGGGTACCAGGGGGGGGTTGGGCGACTCTGAAAACGAGAACGAGGCAGAAAACCTGGTTTCGTCGCAATTTTTTTGCATTTTTGGGCACCTACCTGAGGTTTTCTGACGAAAAAGACGTGAACATATTTTCACAGTCGTCTGGGCAGCTATTTTAGCTATAAATAGCTAAAAATAGCTAGCTGGCCAAATAGCTACTGGGGGGGGCTAATTACTATTGAACCGTATATTACAATTGAACTGTATATTACAATTGAACTTTTTTTTTGGGAAATCGGCGCACTCCAACCGTATATTACAATTGAACTGTTTGTGTGGTCACTGTTACACTACGATTGTGCACAAGGCCTGGCATTTCTGCTGGCTTTTTTTCTGTTTTGACTCATGAATCATCAATGGCATGATAGACCACTGCAGTGAAAAGAATTATTTGAGGAACAATACGAAATTTGTAACAAGCATGGGGCTGCCAAAAGTTTTGGGCATGATCGTTTCGCTGTTTCCGTTGCTGTTGGCGTGGCCCGCACGCGCAAATTATGCCGCTATGTCGGCCGACGGTTGGGACGAGAATGCCTGGTTATCCACCAGGTCGTTCCGCAGTGCGGTTGTGGCGCTTTCTTCTGTCGGCGGCCCGAAAGCGAGTGGTTTTGTGACAGGAAGGGGTGTCAGTGGCATGAAGACCAAAAAGTTGGTCAGGATGCTGCTGCAGGTGAGCGGTCCTGGTTTTGCAAGGACTGCGACTTCGACTACTGTGACGAATGCCTCCCGGAGTCAGTAAGATGGGGGCAGCCTCAGTAAAACCACGATGCTCTAAGACAAATCTCAAAGCTCCTTTTGAACAAGCCATCAGATTTCAGCCCTTTTGTTTTCTTCTTTAGCATAGCCAGCCTCAAGTCAAGAGGCACCTCATCAGTGGCATCACCGAGCGCTTTTGTCCATCCCTTTTTCCGTTTGCGTCCGCCGACAGCCCTAAGTTGAGAGCGACCGACGACATTTACACGAAAGACGTGCCCAGTGGTCGGAGGAGACATCGCGATGTAATCCGGAGGCCGCGGGTTCATTACCTGGCACCAGGCCGGACCAAGACAACCAAGTTACCAGCCAATTTCTACCAGGCAAACTGCACTTCAATTGTAATATACTAGTGTTTTTGGGGGGGGTCTGAGACCCCCCAATTCCACGCCGTGTATCGTTATATTACAATTGAACTCAATTGTAATTGGCCCCCCCCTGTAGCTAAGTCTCACACTGCTGTAGGCCATGGTTCGATTCCCCCGGTCCGATTTTTTTTTTTTGCGATTTTTCGGTGTGAAAAGCAGCCGTCTGGAAATTATTTTCGAGGTCTTTTTGGGAAATCTTTTGGTTTTCGAGTAGTTCTGGGATGCGCGATTATGGGCAAGCTGCCAGCTAGCCCAGCGATCAAAATCTGACCCCCTCCTGGATGCAGAGAGAAAAAAAACCGATCTCCAGGACCCCATTTTTTCGGGTGCCGACCTCCATTTCCGGGGGGGGGGTCGGTCAAAATTTTTATCCGACCAAATATTCGGAAAGCCCTGTCCTCAACGGATTCAAACGTGTCCTCAAAATCTCGAAACCGACCATTTTCGGACCTGCAGATGGAAATTTTCGGCAGAAATCCGAAAAAAGCCGAAATCTGTGACACTTTTTCGTGGAATGGGTGGTACACTTCCTTATGTTTGTGCCCATTCTCGAACACTATTTAACTTTTTGCCCATTCTCGAACACTTTTTAACTTTTTGCCCATTCTCGAACACTTTTTAACTTTTTGCCCATTCTCGGTAACTTTGTGCCCATTCTCGAACACTATTTAACTTTTTGCCCATTCTCGAACATTCCAGTTTTTGTGGTGAAAATGTCACTTCCCCGAGACATTTGCCTCAAGTTTCACCGCGAGAACAACAGCTGCGTTCACTGATTCGAAGACGGTACCCTTGCTAACTTCAGGCCGCAGCCTCTTCGGCATCTACACTCGGGTTCTTGGTTGCCTCAAGCTCTTCTACACGTGACGGTGGTGTGCGAGCTACCCCGTTTAAAAACCCGGCACAGACTTCACTGAGTTTGCTCGTCTTGCTTGCAAATTGCGCGGCGGCCATTGAGTGACCTTAGTTCCAGCTTGCAAACTTTGCAGCAAAGTGATTCAAAAAAATTGACCGAAATTTTTTGGGTCAAAAAATTTCGGTCAATTTTTGGGTCAAAATTTTTGGGTCAAAATTTTTGGTCAAAAATTTTTGGTCAAAAATTCGGGGTCCAATTTTTTGGTCAATTTTTTTTCAGAGTTGAAGTGGCACTGGCAGCGGTTACACTTGGCACATGGCTGCATGATGGCAGGAGAAATGGCTCCTGCCATGCGCCCTGGCGGCTCGCCGGCAATTCCAGTCTCTCTCTCAGCCTGCCAGCCTGCGGCAGGGAGGACAAGATCCAGTCACCATCCGCCAGCTCCTGATTATTTTCAGACGACTGGCACTTTTTCTTTGCAGCTTCTACTGTAGAAGTAGCATCACTCAAATCTTGATTGGCTGCGGCGTTACTTACCGCTCTGAGTCTCCCGCTCCTCCTCTGCAGTCATTCGTGACGTCGCGCCCGTCGCTGGTTACTACTCGTGGTAAAACAGTGGTTCTGATTCTAAAGAGGTTTCGGCACAGAATTAGCAAGCGCTACAAGTAGACGGGCTGGTCACTCGCGCATACCTGAATTATGCACGAATCTGTGTGCACAATGCCTTTAGAAAACCGTTTACCCGTAGTCTGCGGTGTCAATGACCCAGTGTGCAACCAGGATACCGAGCCGGACGCAGCAGCCAACCACAATGCTGGCACTTTGCTCGGAAATCGGAATCGGAAATGGCGAACCAAAAATGGCTGGGATTTTTTGGATGTATGGGTGGTGAGTTCGAATCCCACCCTGGGCAATTTTCAATGTTCGAGAATGGGCAAAAAGTTAGGCGACTGTTCGAGAATGGGCAAAAAGTTAAAAAGTGTTCGAGAATGGGCAAAAAGTTAGCGAGTGTTCGAGAATGGGCAAAAAGTTAAATTGTGTTCGAGAATGGGAATTAGCCCAATTGTCCCGCCAGCTTCGCACTTACCCTCCGAAAAAACGCAATCGGCAGGATTTGAACCTACGCGGGCAGAGCCCAATGGATTTCTAGTCCAACCCCGTAACCACTTGGGTACGATTGCATCTGGCGCGCAGAAAAAAAAAAGCGCAGCAGTGGCCTGAAAAAAAAATGTGGCTTTGACACTGCTGAAGTTCTGCGCCGGCTTCGTCAGCGTCGTCCACCTCATGCGCGCAGTGGGGGCCGTCTTTGACTTCGCTGGCATCGATCAGGCCACGCAGTCTTGCCTGGCGACGATCACGGGCATAGAGACGGACGCATCCGCCTGGGCCCTGGCTTCCCTTCCCGTCAGGCTGGGCGGCTTGGGCCTGCACTCCTGCGCAGATACAGCGGCGATCGCGCACATCGCGGCCACCTTTGACGGCGAGGCTTGCCTGTCGTCCCTGGTGACCCCCTACGTCCTGCCGCACGCGATGCTTCTCAACGAGGACGACACCTTTCTAGCGTCCCTCGAAGACCCGCGCCTTGCACCCTTTGATTCCGTCCTGGAGAAGATTCAGGACGTTCTGCAGGCACGGGATAACTACGGGGGGCGCGGACAGAAAGTGTGGTGACGGGGTACCGAGTAGAAGAGCTGTCGTAATTGTGAAATGCTCCGTTTGCTGGGTCGTTGCTGTCCTGTTTAACCTTGGGTATCTTAGAATATCAGTGCATCGCCGTTACTAGTACGGCTGTCACCGGCGTGGTTTGGGTCCTTTAGCAGGAAAAGTTGGAGACTATGCACCCCGCAACTGATACGGGTTTGCGGACAAGCGACCCTTTGAACTAAATTGATTCCTTGCCTGCTCCAAAACTTGGCAACAGAAGCATTGGCAGCTTCGTACTGACTCTGCGGTCTGAAATATCAACATCGCTTTCGACGGGTTCGTCTTCCTCCGGTGCACTCTCTGACTCAAAATGTACCAGAACTATGGCATTAGCATTGGTGCTGCGACCGTGTTGGCAAGATGCAGCAGCTTGTTGTTGTTTTCTGAACTTTTCAAGCCTTGAATTACTTGCAGTGTTGTACGAAGTTACTGATAGAGTTGCCAACGTTGCCGCTGACTCGCGGCTGAGGATACGAGGCCAGGGCGAAGCAGCTTACCCAAATTCGGGCCCAAAAACCTGTCAAAATCATCAGAAATTGTGTTTTAGATGCATTTTCTGGCCGAAAAAACTAGTTTCACGTGGTTTTCCTGGGTATCAAAATTTTGCATAATTAGCCACAAAGGTAGCCACAAGGTTTGTGGCTACTTTGTGGCTCCCAATTAGCCACTAGTGGCTACCTTGTGGCTGACAGCTATGGCTGTGGCTATCCCCCGCGGAGCTCGCGGTGGCCATCCGGCTTCGGCTCGGGCTGCCCATCGCCCCCATGCCGAGCATCTGTCGTCTCTGCGGGACAGGCTCGGCAGACGTTGACGGAGTGCACGCGCGTAGTTGCTTCTCCGGCGGCCGCCGGACGAGAATGCACAATGCACTCCGCGACGTCATCGCTGACTTCGCCCGCCGTGGCTTGCTGGCCCCGGCGGTCGAGCGCCCCGTGTTTTCGAACACGGAGCGGAAGCGCCCGGACATCAGCTATGTCCGGGACGGCACCACCGTTGTGTTAGATGTCGCCGTCACCTTCCCCCTGCAGCCATCGAATCCCCAGTACGCTAAGAGGGCAGCGGAGAAGCCAGGGGGGGCGGCGACAGCCTACGCAACAGCTGTCAAAGAAGGCAAGTACCGCGGCATAATAGACAACGAGCCAAACCCTCGGGAATGGCTCGCTGTCCCGCTGGTCGTGGACACCTTCGGAGCGTGGTGTCCTGGAGCACTCACGGAGTTGCGGCAAATAGCCCGCAAAAGCGCCCTCCGTGAAGACCGGACCGCTTCGGCCGCCTGCCAGGACTTCTTCCACCAATTGAGCTTTCAGGTAGCCCAAGGGGTGGCAAGAATAGTCATTGCATCTGGTGGGGCGCGACCGGACGAAGCGGTCCACCCTGTTGCAGGGGGTAGTGTCACTGCATCGCGGGTTTTTTTACCTGGTCGGACCTGCTCGCTAGCAGGCCAGCCCAGGTCGCAGTGAGACTGGCGTTCACTGTGTGCTGAAGAAGCATTTTTTTGGGCTCCCGCTCCGGAAGCAACCGGATACCGGTAGCCCCGCTGTACCAACATGGCTTGTACAGTGTCCCGCGCTCCAAAAAAAAAAAAAAGCGCAATTGCTGTGCTCATTCCCGCGAAAAATTGGTGGACGTAAAATCCGATTGCGTCGGCTTACTAGCAATAGCCTTGAGCTCATGACGAGTGGTGGGAAGTTTGCCACCATTGACCGTGCAGAACTCGTCGCCATACTTCTTGGCAATATTGCCGTTAAGCATGTGCTTCCATGCTTAACTGGTAAAAAGATTGTCTTGCTGTCTGATTCACAGTGCTGTCTGCAGACCCTTAAAAACGGTCTCAGACAAACTGACTCCCTGGCGACGCAAATCCTACTTCTCCTGAGAGAAATAGCTGCCAACGAGTCTGCAGATATTGTCCTGCACCATGTTCCTGCTCATTGTGGCATAATGGGGAACGAACACGCAGACAGGATCACCAATGTTGCTCGCCTTGCCACTGGCTTAATTACTCCCGCCCCACTTGATTTTAATTCTGCGAAGGCACGTGTTGTAGAGACCCTGAAAAAGGAATGGTTGTCTTCCCGGCCACATAATTATCACTTCAGAGCCACTGATGGTCACCTCCCCACGTGGCTACAGCCAACTTTAACTAGACAAGCCGAAACAGCACTGATAGCGCTGCGAACCGGTCACTCCTGCGTTAATAAACACTTCCTGTGTGATAACGCGAGGAAACACGCCTTGCAAAAAGGCATTTGCTGGCATTGCCACCTAAAAACGAATACCACCATGTTAGAACACTTCGCACTACATTGTCACGTATTAGAGAAGCTTAGACGCGCCGCACTTAGATATCCCCCTCCCTCCACTCTGCCTCAAGTTTTCTCAACAACCAACTGCATAGGCCTCCTGCTGCTTCTCCAAAAAACAAAGGACCTACCGAACTTCGCAATCTTCGCTACCTAGAGCCCACCCTCATTGTAGACACAGTAGAGAAAATGTGCAGACACGAAGCGAACCGAACCAGTAGTAAACATGTGCAGTGTTAATGTAGAACCGCCTGACATTCCGTCCACGTTCTTCCTAACATACCGCTCTCCAGGGGAATTGCCCCCTTGACCAGGTCAGCTTCTGGAATTGTTCGTTCACTCGTCTAACCCAGTCTCCCAACTGACCGCTGATTTTCCAGTCGGCCCGGTCCCGTTCATTCGCCTCCGTATGGCTGGTTGTCAGTTCTGACACAAAAAAAAAAAAAAACGCATTTTTTATTATCGTGGTCAACTCTACATACTTGGGGGCGTGATTGAGCTCCTCAGGCTCGAATCACTGAGCTGCACATTGTAAGCGGTTCGTCCGTTCGAGAGTCTTCGGCTTGGGACTGCTCGTCTGCGATGGGAAAGATCGGGCGATACCCAGAGCCTTTCGTGTTAAATATGCATCTGGTACGCTCCGAAAATGAGAAACTTTCACTGTACGTGGTGTACGTGAGTTCTTCCGTCGAAGACGTTTCCTGAGCGGTCGTAGAGGTTGACTAATCGATAATAAAATACTTTCAGTTCTAAAGAACTGAAAGTTTTCTTTTTTTTTTTTGGAGCGCGGGACACTGTACTTGCCTTGTTGGTACAGCGGGGCTGCCGGTATCCGGTTGCTTCCGGAGCGGTAGTCCAAAGAAATGCTTCTTCAGCACACAGTGAACGCCACCTCACTGCGACCTGGGCTGGCCTGCATCTGAGTGCAGGTCCGACCAGGTAAAAAAACCCGCGATGCAGTGACTCTTCCCCCTGCATCAGGGTGGATTCGCTTCGTCCGGTCGCGCCCCACCAGATGCAATAACGATCCTCGCCACCCCTTGGGCTATAGAAAAGCTCAAGCGGTGGAAGAGGTCCTGGCAGGCGGCCGAAGCGGTCCGGTCTTCACGGAGGGCGTTCGCGCGGGCGATGTGCCGCAGCTCCGTGATTGCTCCTGGGCACCAGGCCCCGAACGTGTCTACAACTAGCGGCACCGCTCGCCACTCCCGCGGGTCCGGCTCATTTGCGATGATCCTGTTGTAGACACGCTCCTTGACGGCAACAGCATACGCGGCTGCTGCGCCCCCTGGCTCCGCTGCGGCCCTGGTCGCGTAGTGGGGCTGCGAGAGCTGTAGGGGGTAAGGGAGGGGGAGGTTCCTCGCCGTAGCCGCAACCGCCTCTCGCATGTACTTCTCGGCGGCCCGTCTGGCGATACCGTCAGCCCTCTCGTTGCCGGAAAGGCCGCAATGGCCAAAAACGAACTGCAGGGTGATGGTATAGCCCCGCGCTTCGTTCGGCCAGCGACTGCCAGATGTGGATTGGGCCGGGTTGCGTCTGGCAGAGCGGGCCGTGGCTCAGCGTTTGCAGGAGTGACTGAGAGTCACTGACGATGAGGATGTTGAGGGGCGTGGTGGACGGAGGGAGCAGGCGCTTGAGGACGTTCACGCAGATGACCAGAGCCATCTCCTCGGCGCGGTAGCTGTGCGGGTGACGACCGGCCGGGAATCCGGCTTCGACAGTGCGGCAGTTGCCCGTTGGAGTGGTCAGGTGCTGACCCAGGCCGTGGTCTGCCTTTATGGGGACAGAAGGCTCCAGTTCAATGTACAAGCCGGAACCACCCCAGGTAGACCGGTCGTTGGTGCTGCGTAACCATGAACGAAGGGTGGCGCTGGCGTTGGCGTCGCAAATGGAGGGCGGCGGAGGGTCGCCGCTCACAACAGAGCCGTCCGACCAGGCGGTGCAGTGTGGGTGCGGGAGCGTCGCGAGTTGTACTTCCGCGGCTCGCTTCTTCTCAGCAGCGCTAGCATTCTTGCGTACCTTCAGGGCGGTGTTGATCGTGACGCCGGGGCATGGAGTCCACGGGGCGAACCGGTTGGGAATACAAGCCTGCCGAATACACTGGTCTGTGCCCGCCTTGACAGTGACCCGGTCGTACGTCGTCCTCAGGCGCGTATCGAGTGATACGTGCTCCCCAC